GCAGGTTATGGAAGTGTAGAATTCCTCCAAAAGTCAAAACCTTCCTATGGCAAGCGTGCAACTCCTATCTTCCGACCAAGGACAATCTAAGAAGGAGGCACATTGACTGCAATGTAAATTGTAGTCTATGCAGAAACGGAGCTGAGTCAATTTTGCACCTTCTCACCGATTGTGACTACGCCAAGTCTTGTTGGAATTATCTTCAGTTCTATACTCTTCATTCTGATGTAGATAATTTCCAATCGTGGCTGAGTAATGCACTGGATACCCTATCTGATGACCAGTTCTGCACACTTTCCATGGTTTGCTGGAGTCTTTGGAATTTAAGAAACAATATTGTGTGGCAGAACCAACCCTTACAGTCGATGAGCAGTCTGATTTTTAGGACGAGGGCGTACTACTTAGCCTGGAAAGCAGCAACTACGGATATTCACATCTCTCAGAACACAGTAGCACCTACTGATCACTGGAGCAAACCACGACGAGGCTACATGAAGCTAAATGTTGATGCAGCTATTAATGTTGAGGGTGGCTGCATGGGCTTTAGTTGCATCCTGAGAGACGATCAAGGTCTCTTCATTGCAGCTAGGGGAGGTCATTGGAGAGACACTTTTACACCTAGAGAAGCAGAAGCAATAGCCATTCGAGAATCATTATCATGGCTCAAATCCTTTACAGGTGGCAATATTATCATAGAGACGGACTCCCAACAAGTTGTCCAAAGCTACATTGCAGGGAATGGAGAGTCATCCTTTCATTTGATTCTAGATGATATCAAAAACTTAATGAGCCTGTTTGCTCATGCTAGTTTAATCTTTACCAAGTGATCTGCGAATCAGGCAGCCCATCTGTTAACTAGGGAGTATGTTTCTACGTCTGGTTACTTGGAGTGGTTCACGAACCCTCCCTCTATCATTTGTAATACCCTTTATTTAGATTTGAATTAATGCATGCGTTTATGGTTTTAAAAAACAAAAAAAAAAATTGAAAACACACGTGGAACATTATTAAATAAAAGCATCGACTCCTGACGACAACACTTTTCTTCTTTCTTCCTCAAAGCAAAGCATCGTTAGTCGCCAGTCCAGCCGCACCCAAGCAAAGCATCGATTCCACGCTCCAGTCGCACCGGAGCTCCATCGTCAGTCGCCAGTCCGAGCTCCATCGTATGTCCAGGTTGACCGGCTTCGCCGGCGGAAAAAACTAGACTGCCGACCATCATTAACCCCTTCCCCGTCGGTTCTTCTTCTTCTCCATGGATTTGATCGGAAAATAGAGGTGGTTCTGCTGCTGATTTTTCTGGGATGGTGGGCTATGGGCAGTGGTTTGAGGAAGAAGGAAAAGGAGTGGTGGGTTGTGGGCGGTGGAAGTGGAAGGCGAAGGAACCCTTATCTCTGTTCTTCTTCTCCATGGATTTGATCTGGTTCTACTGTAGTGATTTGGGGAAGAAGGAAAAGGGGTGGTGGGCTGTGGGCGATGGAAGTGGAAGGCGAAGGAACCCTTATCTCTGTTCTTCTTCTCTATGGAAAGGGATAGTGGGCTGTGGGCGGTGGAAGTGGAATGAGCAAAAAAAAAAAAAAAAAAAAAAAAAAAAAAAAAAAGACAAAAACAAGAAAATTGGTACAAAGAATTGAAAATAGATTCTAAGTTCAATTTTTAGCTAAACATCTACCACTATCGCTGGTAAGACTCGATCCATGGTCATTCTTTTAAACTTTTACCACTATGACTAGTTGAGCTACCCATGCGAACTATTGTTGTTGTTATTATTATTATTATTATTATTATTATTATTATTATTATTACCCCTCAACAAAATTATTATGATTATTATGATTAATATTATTATTACAAATGTTATATGGGATGATTGTATTAATAAAATAAAAAATTAGAGGATTGGAGAAATTGAAAATTGGAGGAATGGATAAATGAAAAACTGGAGGAATGAAGAAGGAAAACTGGAGAAATGGAGAAATGAAAAACTGAAAATGAAAAAACAGATAAATGAAGTAAACTACCCCTTGAGTCTCCTTGCTTAATTAATTATATTTCCCAAAATGTATTATATTTTAATATTTTGCCCCCACTAGATGAAATTGCTGGCTTCGCCCCTGAGACCGAGGGAGTACATTATTGTATACATAAATTACATTATTTGAGTACTGAAAGTACATTATTTTGTATATTACATAATATAAAATAATGTACTTTTAGTACTCAAATAATATATTTTTAATATATTAAAAATATATTTTTTATGATCTGCATAGTACTTTGTGCAATCGTTATACCCTGCACCACGGCACACATAGCAATGTGCGCCCCTCGCCTCCCAAAACGACGTCGTTTTGGTAAGTTATGTAGGGAGTTGACGTGATTATGTGTATTTATTTATACAATTATGTACATTTTTTATACAATTATGTACATATGAAACAGGAAATTTATGTGTATTATGTATTTATGATTTTATGTTAAGAGTTTATGTGTATTATGTATTATGTTAGATTATGTGTATTATCTTTTTTAAAAAAAAGTATGTGTATTTTGTTATACAATTGTGTACATTCATGTATATAATTATGTGTATTCTAGTATAAAATTATGTACATTTTTGAACATGAGAATTTTTTTAAAAGAAAATTAATCGCCAACACAGGGTAGTGAAATTAAAAAAATTAAAAATAAAAAAAAAAATCTAAAACGACGTCATTTTGCATCAGGGCGCATAATGCAATACGCGCCCTGATGCACGATATAAATTGCCTACTTCGTGGATGATCCACATAAAAATTTATCAATATGTTAAATGCGGAGCGTTATGCCATGGAACCGTGTTCACCATTCATGGTGAACACGGTTCCAACGGTGTTAGTACACCGTTATTTTTTTTTTCCTTAATTAATTGCGTGACTTTTCTTTTTCATTTTCACATTTTGCGGTTTCACTTTAATTTGAGGTGAACAATGATTTCGGATATTTATAAATTATGAATTCATGCACATTCACTTTGGAACCATGCCTACACATTCCCGTCCAAAATCACCGACATTCATAAATTATGAATCCATGCCTGCACATTCACTTTGGAACCATGCCTACACATTCACTTTGGAACCATGAGATTATGAATTTTCTGTTATAAGATTATGAATTTTCAGTTATGAGATTATGAATTTTCTGTTATGAGATTATGAATTTTCTGTTATGCGATTATGAATTTTCTGTTATGAGATTATGAATTTTATGAAAATTCATAATCTCATAATAGAAAATTCATAATTTGATCAACGCGCGCCGTTAACTCCACATCCGCGAAAATTTTTTTTGTCTAAAAACAACGTCGTTTGGTCTTGTGTTCACTATTCTCGGTGAACACGTTTCCATGGCATAATTTGCCGTTAAATGCAGGTACTTATAATTTAATAAAAAGAAAATGGAAATAAATTGGGCCTTTAATAAATTACTTGGGCTCACTATTGGGCCTACAGGGAGATGGAAAAGAGCCCGAAATATCTGTAAGTCATACCCAAACACTTTCCTTCCGCAAATTATATCGTGCATCAGGGTGCACAATGCATTGTACTTTCTGATCCAAAACAACATTATTTTTATAAGTTGGTGAAGAGTTGACACAACAGAAACCGTTTCGTCCGTCCAATCGTTACAGTTTTTTTTTTTTTTGTTTTTTTGTTTTTTTGTTTTTTTTTTTTGTTTATGTGTATTATGTTAAGAGTTTATGTGTATGTATTATGTTAGATTATGTGTTTTGTATTAAGAGTTTATGTGTATTCTACTATACAATTCTGTTCATACGAAACAAGGATTTTTTTATGACGCAACGATATAACAATTGCTTTTCGTAGGGGGAATACAAAAGACACAATCGTTATATTGTGGACCAAGGTCCATAGTGCATTGAAAACTACTAGAGTCTGGTTCTAAACGACGTAGTTTTGAATTTTAATTTTGATGGAGACCGTTCGTTATTCAATTCACGTTACATGATTTTATTATTTTTTTTATTTTTCTTTTTACTGTAAAACATGTGTATGTGTCTTGCGGTGTCAGTTTCTGTCAAAAATATTATGTAAATTTTGTACCTTAATAGTATGAATTCTGTATTTGAAACAAATTAGTAGTTATGTAATACACAACATATTGTGTGTCTCATTTATGAATTTATGCATTGTGTTGTGAAATTATGTGTGTATAAAACATAAATTCCCCACCTAAATCAAATTTGAAAATAAGTGAATATATAACATGTGTATGTGTATGTGTCTTGTGTTTCGCGTTTTTGTGTCTTGTGTTATAAAATTTTGTACCTTAAAAGTATCAATTTTGTACCTAACACAAATTAGTAGTTGTGTAAAATAAGTAAATGTATAACGTGTATGACTGTATGTGCCTTGCATTGTAAGTTTAATTTTGTGTCTTGTGTTATAAATTTCTGTACTTTAAGGGTATGAATTTTGTACCTAGAATAGATTAATAGTTGTGTAACACACAACATATTATGTGTCTTATGTTATGAATTTATGTATTGTGTTATGAAATTCTATGTCTATTGAACATAAATTATCTACCTAAATCATATTTGAATATAAGTAAATTTATAACATGTCTATTTTTCTTGCATTGTCAATTTTGTGTCTTATGTTACGTAATTCTGTACCTTAAGAGTGAATTCTGTACCCGAAATATATTATTAACTGTATATAAATATGAGAAACGAGAAACTAAGGACCTGTTTACCAACAGAAAGCTGATCTATGTTTCCTATTTTCTAATTTTTCAGTTTTCATTCTCTGTGTTCCATTCTCTGTTTTCTATTTAAAAAACCTGTTTACTAATAACAAACTGTTATTTATTTTCTGTTTTCTATTTTTCAGTTTTTGGAAATTTCCAGAAATTTGTAGTTAGTAAACGCCCCGGTAAAATATATAAATTGGCACAAACGACGTCGTTGGGGCGATTATAAAACCCCCAAATATCCAATACCCATTACTCGACTCGACTCTGGCATAACTTTTCTTGTTTCCTACTCCATTGTCTTCTTTGCAAGCTCCCGACTCTTCTGCCCCAAGCCGATAAGGAGCTCCAACAATGGCGACGCCTATGGTTCTGGATCCTAACCCTACTCCCAAGCCTTCTTTTGAGGTTCCGGCGACCCGAACCGACGCGTCCGCTCAGGACGTGTCGTACGACGCCGAGGACGATCTCTACGCGCGGCTGAAATCGCTGCAGAGACAGTTGGAATTCATCGAGATACAAGAGGAATACGTCAAGGATGAACTGAAGAACCTGAGGCGAGAGCACCTCCGAGCGCAGGAGGAGGTTAAGCGGATCCAGTCGGTGCCGCTTGTAATTGGGCAGTTTATGGAGATGATCGACCAGAACAACTCTATCGTCGGCTCCACCACTGGTTCCAATTACTACGTTCGGATTCTCAGCACCATTAACAGGGAGCTTCTCAAACCCTCTGCTTCCGTCGCGCTTCATCGCCACTCCAACGCCCTCGTCGACGTGTTGCCTCCCGAGGCGGACTCTAGTATTTCGCTGCTAAGTCAATCAGAAAAGCCGGATGTTACCTACAATGTAAGTCTGTTGTGTTTAATTGAACGATTAGGTTTTCGTGTACTGATTATTGCATTACTTCTTACTTCTTTAATTAGATTAGGAATATGGCTTAGCGTTTAGACTTGTAAGTTTCGGGACTTTACTTCTTTCAAGATTTCTTTTCAGCTCTAATAGCTCCAAATATCTAATCCTGTTGTGAAAGTTATAATTTTATCCAGTCTCTTTAGTTTTAGTTCAATCCAAACATTTCAAATTAGAATTAATTGATTTTTGTTGACATGTTTGCCCTGTTGGGTTCATTTTTAAAAATCCCAATTTATCAAAGAAGTGATTAGATGGCAACCATGCCAAGAAAAATCAATTAAGTTTTGACCTAGAATAGATATTGGATCAAAGGGATTCTAATTTGAAACCGTTTTGATTTAATTGGAAAAATTTAAAGCATTGGACAGAATTGAAAATTTAAGAAAAACAAAAGTTCAGTTATTTGACAGTGGATGTCAACTGGGCGGGGGCGGGGAGGATACTCCCCATCCCCGCCGCGGATAGGAAATCATTCCCTACCACTGTCCCTGTGGGCAAATTTCAGGGACGGGGATTCCCCGACTTTAAGCAAATTAGTATTTTTTTCTTGGTTGAAATAATAGTGTAACTAGTATAATTCACAATATTTAAGTAAAAAAATTAAATATTTAATTTTTAATCTTAGAATAGTTAAATCTTCATCAATTCTCAATAACAATTGAAAATCAAAATGTGAAATAATTTTCATGCAAATAAGAAGATACATATACAATTACAAAATATAACACATCCAATAGGACCTATCTACACCACCACTTAGCAAGCTTTGGCCAAACATGTGCTTGTTTGGTCCAGTTGAAAGTCATTCAAAAATTGTCTTTTGTAAAAAGTCTTAATTGTGGAGTTTCTTGGAGGAGAGTCTTTTGCCACTTATTTGGCTTTTGAAAAGTCTTTATCCCACTTCAATTTTTGGATTAAATAAGCTCCAATCGATGTGGGTGAAACCGGCAATAAATTAGTTACCATAATGGAGGAAGGACAGTTGAAGTGTAATGTACCATGTTTTCATGTTGTGAGGGCTGTCAAATGCTGTCAGCACTTCATATAATCTTATATTAGTATCATTCCTTACTGTTTTTGATTTCTTTCATTTTGTTTTGGAGGGGTTGAATACTTGAATACTTCTAACGCCATTATCTTCCACTTTATGGCCTTAACTGTGAGACTTTGGAGCTTAATATTATTGCATTTAGTGTTGTCATAGGTATAATTAGGATGAACACCCAAACAGCTTTCTTGTTACATGGACTGTAATGTATATAAATCATATGTATATATCTGTGCTCCTTATCTTGCCAGTTGATTTGATTTTTTTTTCTTTACTTATCTTAAAACATTACCAGGATATTGGGGGATGTGACATTCAGAAGCAGGAAATACGTGAAGCAGTGGAGTTGCCTTTGACTCACCATGAACTGTACAAGCAAATTGGTATAGATCCTCCCCGTGGTGTCTTGCTCTATGGTCCACCAGGTACTGGAAAAACCATGCTTGCTAAGGCTGTTGCTAATCATACAACTGCAGCTTTTATAAGGGTTGTGGGCTCAGAATTTGTACAGAAGTACTTGGGTGAGGTATGCTTACGTGCATTTTTTAGACTAATTCTTGCTCTGATGTTTATATTTAGATTTCATCTAATTCCAAATGAGAATTCTTTTTAATTATAAAAAAATCTGTCTCTGTTACATTACATCCAAAATTATATTTTTATGAAGTCTTAATGTATTTTTACTTGCTTCTTGAACAATTCAATATTGTACATTGTCCACAGAGTCACAGGCTTTGTTGATTCAAACATTTCTTGGTTAATTTGTGTCCCTGTTTGGGCTGTTCCATAGAAGTCGTGATGGAGGGTTCAGTTATTTATTACTCCGTATTTATCATTAGTTTAGTTGTATCCGTTATGACTCAGTTTTGAACAATCATCATCTTTTCCCCTATCAGCTGAATTACTCATCTAGATGCAAATAAATTTCCAACTCTTAATAGCATTCTACTTGGGTGTGTGTTTAATTCCTAGGGCATTGACGCACAGGCATCTTTATATATAGCAGCTAAAGTATTTTTATCTCACTAGTCATAATTTTTGCAGGGTCCTCGTATGGTTCGTGATGTTTTCCGCCTTGCCAAAGAAAATGCCCCAGCAATCATTTTTATCGATGAGGTAGATGCAATTGCCACTGCTAGGTTTGATGCTCAGACCGGAGCTGATAGAGAAGTTCAGCGTATTCTAATGGAGTTACTAAATCAGGTAGTCCTTCTTGCTCCAGATCTAGCATTTCTTAAGTAGTTGTCCTGTACTTTCCTTTGCTTATGAGTTTCAAACGTGCAGATGGATGGGTTTGACCAGACAGTTAATGTGAAAGTTATAATGGCAACTAATCGAGCAGATACATTGGACCCTGCTCTTTTGCGTCCTGGAAGGCTTGACCGAAAGATTGAATTTCCATTGCCAGATAGACGTCAAAAGAGGCTTGTGTTCCAGGTTGATTTGCTGTGATGTTGATAATTTCATCACTTCATAGTTTCATAATTCATATTTTGCAGTATTCTCCCAACCCAACCACCACTCCCCACCCCCCAAAAGAATGAAAAGAAGAATCTAAAATAAGAGCTAAAAATAACTAATAATGGCTGAATTTGGCAGGTGTGTACTGCAAAAATGAATTTAGGCGATGAGGTAGACTTGGAGGACTATGTTTCTCGGCCAGATAAGATTAGCGCTGCTGAGGTTTGTTTCCGATACATTTATTTAATTTTAGATACATGTGTATATGTGAAAATTTAATGGTTTGGTTTGAAACAACATTGGTGGTTTGGCAGATTGCTGCGATTTGTCAAGAAGCAGGAATGCATGCAGTACGAAAGAACCGATACGTCATTCTCCCCAAGGACTTCGAGAAGGGGTACAGGACAAATGTTAAGAAGCCTGATACTGACTTTGAATTCTACAAGTAAAATGCAGAAATAGCTGCGAAACATGAACAAAATTAACTTGTTTTCAATGTAGTAAGTATAACAGTCTCTTAACTTTTGCTGTGTGTTCAATGCTGCAGCAGATGGATTTAAATTTTAACTGGCATTGTTATTTTCATGGCTAAGATTAGTCTTACAAGATGATTTGATGATCTCGGGAGACTTTAAACTTAAATATGTTAGAACTATGATTATGTCATACTACAGGTTCAAATATAAAAGCTTAAAGTATAATTGAAGTAGAAATTATTATTTTCTCCAATTTCTGTCTTACACAAAAGGTTAGGCGTATATGAGTTAGAAATTTTGTAAGTGAGTAAAATACAAAAAGTGAAATGGATATGTAGTCCAATCCTTAAGGATAAAGGAAATTGGTGTAGAAGTAGAACAAGATTGGCGTGACCACAAATGTAGCTTGATGTTGACGTTCATATCCTATATCCATCATATACCATTATTTCTCTCTCATCGTCTGTCACTCTGTCGTCATTAACCTTTTGCACAACATTTTAAACATTTTCATATATCCACCCTCTCGTTAAATAATTTCGAGTGAAATATATATATATAAATTTGGTTGAGGATTTTACAATTTGGTTGGAATGAAGGAATTAAGGGGGAAATGAATTGTAATTTGATGGGAAAAGAATAATGTGGAAATAAAGTAGGAATTCAAATTACAGTGTTTGGTATACAGTAATAGGATTACATGGAATTGAAAGTGAATAAGTAATATAATGATTGAAATGCCTTTTGTGAGGGAAGGATTAGATGGGATGAGAATAATTACAGGGACAAAAATGTCTTCACAGTACTATATTTCTCCATTTCACCATCGAATTGCAATTCTTAGGTAGGGGCCATGAATTACAATTCAGCCAAGGGAGGGAATTACAATTCCCTCCAACCAAACAACGTAATTGATAGGGGAAACAAATTGCAATGCAATTACAACCAAATTACATCCAACCAAACAAGCACTTAGTAAAAAGTGATGATTAATTTAGAAAAAAAATTACTTTTGGTCCATTGATTATTCTACATGTATCAAATTTGGTCCTTGATTATTAATATTTTCAAATTAGGTTCATGATTATATAATTTGTATCACATTTAGTTCTGCCATCCAATTTTCTAGTAAGATTTCCGGTCAACCATTGCTGGAAGTTAAACGAAAAAAAATAGCCAATTATTACCTAAAAATTATTTTTCTTGTTGAAATTCTGACAATATTTGAGCAGAAAATTGGATGGTAGGATGAAATATGATACAAATTACAAAGTCATTCACCTAATTTGAAAATATTAATAGTGAAGGACCAAATGTGATACAAATTACATAGTCATGCACCTAATTGGAAATTATCAATAATTTAAGACAAAATTCGATACATGTATAACAGTCAAGGGACCAAAAATAAATTTTTTTCATTAATTTAATTCCTCCATTTAAGTAGATTAATAGTGGAAAGTACTATGTGTATTCTCATTTTTAATCCCAATTTTTACTTCTACACACAAAAACATGATGTAGACACTTGCATTGGGGTCCACATAAAACAATAGCTTATCAATGTGTGCCACATCATGAAATAAAATTTAGAGAATAAGATTTGAGAGTCCATATAGAAGAACTCATTAATAGTTGAATGTTACTAAAAATAAGGAAAAAATAAGTGAAGTTAGTTTTATAAAAATTGCAAACTTCAAAGTTTGTAATAGTTATAAAATTGACATTATTTTTGTTTTTACTAAAAATCTCTCAACCATAAATGAAACCTAATGAACAATTATGATCAGTACTCACTTTTTATACGAGGATAATGTTCTCATTTGAATATATATATATACTAGTATGATACCCGTGCGATGCACGGATTAAAATTTTAACATTAATGAACTTATTATTGTTTATTATAAGATAATCCTTTTTTTATGTGGATATTACAATTCTTGTAGGATTTTAAATTTAGGATTTAAACATACTAAGTAATAAACATTAGGTTTTCAAAAAAAGTAATAATAAGCATTAATACGTGTTATAAAATCTGAAATTATTTTAAATTACAAATTATCAAAGACCTCTTTGTAAACTACATTAGTGGTTGAATTATAAATATCGCCTAACTCATTACAGATCAAAATCTTGAGACTTTTAGAATTGCTTACTCTAGGTGGACCTACATATAACTGTCCGTGTACAAAAATTGACTTATTGAGTAGCAATCCAACATGGGATAACGTTTGTCATGACTTTTATTTATTGCATATAAAAACATTAATGAGAATTGTCTTCTCTTAAACTTGAATGACAATCTTAGATCTGATACTGTCATAGCCATTCGAGGGACCAACACCATAGTACCTGCATGATCATTATCTAGTATTCCACCCGTGACCCATGCGATGCACAGTTAGAATTTTGTATATATATAATGTATTTTGAAAGATGTGGTATCATAATGCTATAGCCTATTGAAATAGGATTTAAATAAAAACATAAAATATTGGGGTGCACTTGGCCATCATATATTTTCTACATCAATTGAGTATAAATAAAATCACAAGACATTCTTAATTAACATTATTAAGTATATAAGTATTACAATAATAAAGCATAAAAATTAAAAACATATAAAATATAATTTTTTTATTTAAAATAAATCATATCTACTAAATGACAAATTATTGTGTAGATCATGGTTCACATAATATTGTATGGACCATAAAAGAAAGCAAATTTTTATGTACTAAAAGTACATTATTTGTGTACTGAATATACATTAAATGTTCATTATTTTATTGTATACAAAAAATGGTTTACACAGCTTGTGTGAACCATAATAATTACTACTAATCCTGGTCAAAACTATACATATTAATATATACATTTTGTTTTAGCCCAAGCAAGAAGCCCAATCTATAACCCAACCCAAAACCACTAAAAGCCCACATATAAAATCAACCCCAAACCCTAATCCTACGCAAATCCACCCATCTCTGTCTGAAAGCATTTCCTCTGCCTTCTCTCTACCAATTTAGAAACCGTACCACAGCTGCAACTACAGAGCTTCAATTCGTTGTTTCTTTTTTATTTTTTTGTCTGGTGAAGTTGACGCCTTTTGCTCCAGGATGATAATTCATCTTGATGCCTCCATTTTTAACACCCTTTTTTATTTCATTTTTTCCAGTTTTATTTCACAAACACACAATACTACAGAAATGTCTGACTGAGTACATCTCTAAGAGCTTAGTCAATTAGAGGTAGAAGATGAGGGAGCGTCACCAAAGACCAACAGGTCTGACCGGAAAGCAAGTAAACAGCCTTTTTCTTTATTTTCTATAGTTTGTATACTGTATTGTGGACAATCTCTGCCCAGTTTGAATAAATTGTTAATTAGGATTTATGATTTCAGATGCAAAATCTGACACTTCTATTCTCTGTATGAAATTTTCCCTCATAATCTTGGACACTGACGGAGAAAATTCAACTGTGTAAGAGTGACCAAGAACAGAGATTTGCAGGAAACACGAACCGTTAAAATGTAATTTCTTTTATAATTGATATATTTTTCTTTGCATGTACATATACACCACACAAAAAGACAAAATCACACAATTACAAATAACAATTCAATGGTAGAATATAAGAGAAAATAAATAAATTTTAAGCATGCATAATGGGAATGGAAAATAATTAAGGACTAACAAAATAAGGGAAAAAAAAACATTTCCTAACATCTGTGTATCATTGACTATGCAAAATATGGTGCAGAATTAAGTCTCATGGAAAGCAAAGCAGGAAAATAGTCAAACCTAGCACACCAGGTATGCTTTCATGATACCTTTATCTTCAACATTCTCCCTATGGTAGTTGATCCCTTCAACCTTTTCATTTTGCTTGTCTCTGTTAACTATTCAGATGAAAAAGTTGTTGCTTCAAAATGAATATGCATTGCACATATTTCTTTCTTGAATGTCATAACTCAATATTTATTACTATAGGGTAATCAATGTGTATTATCAATTATTACTGCATGGTAGTAGGGCTTGCTGTATGGGGAAAGTGAATAGATTGTGTGTATTGGGTATTGTGTAACTTGTAACCTACTCAATTATACAAAAGATATAGAGTTTTTCTAAATTTAATTTATTTTAAAAGCAAAAACACTAACAATTGAAAGTTGCTAGCAAGTGATGATAAAGGAGTCTAATGCCATTTTTTTTTTTTTGTGTCTCCTAACACCATTGTTCCTACCTAAAATAATAATATGGATTTTATCATAATACATGTGAATAGATAAAACAGAATAAAAAAGAACCAAACATCTCTATACATTTCTACCCTAGATTTATAAGTTTCAACACAATTTTAATTTTTTTTTATAGAAAAACTAAACCTAGATCAAATCCCAGTCATTACTACCCCCTATCAGCCTATCCTCTATTCCATAATCCATAAAAGAAAAAGGCGAATGTCATGAGAATGAGGTCTTCTTTGGAGTAACTACTTTCAATCATTGGATAGATCTTTTTTTTTTTTTTTTTTTAAAAAAATTATCCTACTACCCCACCACACAGAGAGAAATGAAAAACAGAAGCAGAGTACATATTAATTGAACATTACTTTTGTTTATTGACAATTTCATCAGCCAACTTATTCATTGTCGGAAGTCCACAGACACATTCACTTCATTCATTTTCATCTCTATATATGCCCTTTCTAAGTAATATTTTCCCCTCTCAACCACACCTACCACATATTTTGTAGAGAAAAAAAAGTAGTGCACTAACAGTGACCTATTCTTAAACTCAACAAACTCCTTGAAAGTATGGTGAAATCCAATTTTGTAGCAAACCTCACAATCTACAGAACACAATATTTCAACTAAGATGAATAATAAAAAAGCAACAACTCTGCATTGCAAGACGAATAGCAAAGACTTACTTTCCATGAAATAAGCATTTCATGCTTTTGATTGTTTTTTTATTCTTGATTTAGACAGCTCATATGTGTGCTCTAAAAGTACTCATGACATTTCGGGTGTGATAAAGATGAATTTGAGACCCAAGAACAAAGTGCTAGACATCAAGCTTCAATTGTTGTGCTTTACAGTTGAAGCATCTAAAGCAGATTGCAGGATTTGCAGCACTCGTTTTTTATTTCCTTGTAACCCTTTTCTATATATAAGCAAAGGGTCTATATGTGTAGATGTATAGGTGTAGAAGTCGGCTGGGTAATGTATATAAAATAATACACAATATTTGTACTTTAACACTTCCATACCCATTTAGACTAATTTTACACGCAATAGCCAATAGCCCACTCCCCTAAATTTCAGGCCTAACACACGTCTCCCAATTGAATTGTGAAACAGGGAAAAAAAAAGTAATTTCACACGCAATAGCCAATAGCCCACTCCCCTAAATTTCAGGCCTAACACACGTCTCCCATTTGATTTGCGAAACAGAAAAAAAAAAAAAAAAAAAAACAAAACAAAACAAAACGGCGTCGTAATGGTTGGGCGGGAATTTTGGCTTTATTATAGTTAGGATATATATATATATATATATATATATATATATATATATATATATATATTCCGTGCGGCTATGCGGTTATGCACCATTAGGTACACATAAATGCACCACAAAGTGTTAGAAAATGCATCATTAGGTGTGGTGCATTTTTTTTTTGGTGTGTAGTGCATTTGTGGATTTTATTTTGGTGCATTTTTGAACAATGTGTGGTGTATTTATGCATACCTAATGGTGCAATTCGCACCAGCTGCACGGGAAGTCTTGTCCTCATTTGAACCAATAACTATATATATATATATATATATATATATATATATATATAGAAAGAGAGAGAGAGAGAGAGAGAGATGGTATGGTTTACGTGCGAAGAGTTTCCCAGGTGAAAGATGGAGTGAGATCTGAGCCGTTGATCTAATTTAGATCAACGGCACAAATCTAGGAAACTTTTTTTTTTAAAAACAATCGTATTTCGTTGAACGGGATGCATTATCCTCCTACCATTATTGAACTGTTGCACCTTAACGCATCTTAAGTGTTGAATTGACGCACCTTAAGTGTTAAAATGACGCACCTTAAGCTTGAAAATACGCACATTCAGTGTTAAAATGTCACACTTAAGTGTTAAAATGACACACCTTAAGGGGGCATTTGGTTCACGAAATGTAGATTACCTTAGGGAATGTTAGATTTCTATGTTTGGTTTAAAATTAAGGTATTTAAATAAGACAACGGTAAACAAGACAAATTGATTAAAATGCCAAAAGCCCAAAATTAGTAATAAGACAAGAGAATGTGAGATTACATAAGAAATTGGAGGGTATCTCACATTCCCTTCCAATAGTTAAAAACTTAATATGGAGATTATGTGACATACTTAAAGTTCAATAGACAATCTATAACTGTATATCACAATAAATATTATTTTTATCGTTGAAAATATCATTATTATTGTTTCCAGTTTAGACTCCAAGAGAGTGAAAAATGTAGGAAAATGTGTGGATCTGAATGTAAGTTTTTCCCGTAAACTTCTCAACTGAGTCAAAAATTAAACTCTCGCTTGTGATTAGAAGGTAAGTTTACTTCTCGGTCATACAGCCAAGGGGGGTACTTCTTGGAACCGAGAAGTGCACTCCACTTCTCGGTCAGTGGCAAAATGTTGAAAAATATATTTGGAAAGTTGGTTTAACTTAGCTCACAAGGTCATTAGTTCCACTCCAAAGTTAGTAAAAACTATAGCTACTATTTCCAAATTATGGCTACCAAGCAATATATCATGCTAAAGGGAGTTTACAACTATGACTACCAATTTCATATGTGTTAAGGTACACGTAAAACAAACAAAATGCTAAAATAATTAGCACAAAACAAATAATCATAAACCTAAAGCCTCCTTTACCACAATTACAAGTTCTTGCTATTTTGAAGTTTTTATTTTATATATGAATATTAATAAACTTAAATGTGAAAGAAGCTATTTAACCAAAGTATGTAAATAAAAAAAAAGTTATTTTTAATGATAAAAATAATATTTATTGTGATACATAGTGATTGATTGTTTATTGAACTTTTAATATAATTTTTTTTTAGATATATATGAACATAAAAAGATAAAAATAAAAAGTATATGAGTATTTATGAAAGTTACAAAACATATCGTAAAACTTCATAGAGATAGAAGAAAAGTTTATATGTTTAGACAGAGAGAAAAAGTCTATTAAGAAAGTTGAAAATTTTGGGGTTGGAGTGTGAATTTTGCCTATTTATATTTGTGTGAAAAAAATCTATATAAATTTTAATTTGATAGAGTCTAAAAACAAAAATAAGAATAAACAAAAATAAAATAAATAGAAGAGTTTTTATTTTTTTTTCAAAAATGGTCCCTATTTTTTTGAGAGAAAAAAAACTACAAAAATTTTAATTTGATAGTCTAAAAACATAAATGAAATAAAAATTATTTTTTTTTTCAAAATGGTCCCTCAACTATTTATGAGTGTATTAGGCACAAAATGGGTTAACGGATCAAAATGCCCTCCATTTTAATGCTGAGTAAATGGAATACCTAATAGAGGACTGAATTGTGTGAGCTTTTGAAAATTGAGAAACCACATTTAGTGCAATTGAAAGTCAAAATGTAAAATTAAGAATGAGCAATAGTCGAGTGAAAGTCAAAATGCAAAATTAAGAATGATTAATAGTTGAGGGACCATTTGACAAAAATCTATTTTCACATATAAGTAACAAACAATTTATTTATGATTTAATATTACATTTGCTAGTATAAGTATTGCATTTCATTTTGACTCAACCCGTATTACGAACGAGATCCGTGAAAAGGTCTCACACAAAATTTTGCCATATATATATATATATATATATATATATATATATATATATATATATATATATGTGTGTGTGTGTGTGTGTGTGTGTGTGTGTGTGTGTGTGTGTGTGTGTGTGTGTGTGTGTGTGTGTGTGTGTGTGTGTGTGTGTGTGTGTGTGTGTGTGTGTGTGTGTGTGTGTGTGTGTGTGTGTGTGTGTGTGTGTGTGTGTGTGTGTGTGGAGGGGTTCAAGTGAAAAAGAAGTCGCAGGTGAAACGTGCGGGTGTATCTTAGTCATTCATCAACTCATCTTAAAAAAAAAAAAAAAAAAATTCGCCACATGTGAGCCACATCAATGTGCACTAGAAGTAAAAAATGTGCACTGTAACGCACAAAAATATGCAACAACTATTGAAAAGACTAAATTTAATACATGATCTTCAACACAAATCATAAAAGATCATAATATTCAACTGAAATTAGTAATTAGTGATTCATTCAAAATCAAATGCTCTTTTATGTATATATATATATATATATATATGTGTGTGTGTGTGTGTGTGTGTGTGTGTGTGTGTATATATCACCTACAATCTTAAAGGTTGAAGGCACAACAAGTCAACAATGTGCACTGGAAGAAGGGACAATGTGTACTGGAACTCTGAAAAGGCAAAAATGTGCATGGAAAGGTTTAAAGGTTGAAGGCACAACAATGTGCACTGTAAAGCAAAACAATGTGCACTAGAACTATGGAAAGACAAAAAAAATGCATAGTAGGATAGAAAATATGAAATAATTATTGAAAATACTAATGCATGATCTTCAACACAGGTCATAAACGATCATAATATTCAACTAAAATTAGTAATTAGTGATTTATTTAAGACCAAATGTTCTTTAAAATTATATATATATATATATATATATATATATATATATATATATATATATATATATATATATATATATATATATATGCGAGTTCAGGTGCAACGGTGTCTTATGGTGCGGCGGTGCGGCATATATCACCAATAGTTCAACAAGTATACACCATCAACGTTATGAAAATAAATCACAAAAAACAGAGACAAATTAGGTACGCATCACCAAAAACACACCATTAGGTGTGCGTAAAAACACCATACAGTGTTTGGAAATACACCATTGGGGGTGGTGAGTTATATGGTGTATTTTTTTGGATCTGTTTTGTATTTTTTGATGTTTTATTGCATTTCATTATGGTGTGTTTTCCTTACACTGTTGGTGCATATTGTTAACACTATTGGTGTATTCTGAAATTCCGCCGCACCGCCGCACGGGAAGACCCCGCCGCATTTGAACTTTTTCCTATATATATATATGTGTGTGTAAAGGATCAAGTGGAAAAAAAAAAATTGCTTAAAGTGAAAAATAAGATGTTATCTCATCCATTGATTCAGATCATATCAATGTCTAGAATGAAGCAATTTTTTAAAAAAAATGCGGTTGCATTATGATATTTTTGTGTAAGTGACTTAATTTTTATCTTAGCTTCTCGGCTTTTCAGTGCACATTGTCCATTCATACAAAGCACATAGTTGTGCCTTACAATGCACATTGTTGTGCCTTCAACCTTTAAGTTCGTAGGTGTTTATATATATATATATATATATATATATATATATATATAGTTCAGTCAGTTGAATATTGGAATATATGGTTTTCTTACAACGATAAGACTAATTGAAGTTATATGTTCCCCTTTGGAACATCAATTATTGGGTCAATCACAACATTGATCTTTGGCTTTATCGAATAACATCAATTACTGGGTCAATCACAGCATTGATCTTTGGCTTTATCGAATGTCAAACAATAATAATGTATGAATAATAAGGAATCGTGTTTGTCTATGGTATTAATTGAAGTATCTACTCCATCTCAATTAAAAGCTTATACTGATAATTGGGTTGCACATTACTAATTATATGTTCAGGATGGGACTTCGAAAGCACAGAGATAATGAAAGGAAAGGGTGACTTTGTGGGCAAATCTTACTACGGACCATGCTCTATGTAGCAGGGTGAACCATGAAGTAAAATGATGTCGTATTATTTTAAGTACACTTCAGTTTCATTTGATAATACACATTATTGTATAAATTCTATTTCTTAGTTTAATTTTTTACACATACTAATTTCATTATAGTAAATGCTGTAGTATCATTTTAATTACACTTCAATTTATTTGACAATATATGTTATTGCATGGGTTTTATTTTTTTAATTTTATTTTTTAAACACATTATTTTCATTATATATAGTAGCACTGAAGTATCATCCTAATTACACTTCAGATTCATTTGACAATATATGTTATTGTATGAGTTATGTT